CTATGATACCCATACTTTCACGAACCCGAGTCAACCTTGTCAACCCACAACCAGGCATTCAGAATAATGATATAATTATGATATGATAACCCGAGTCACAACGGCCTACGTAGTATTCTCAACGGCGATTTGCGGTTTACCATCCCGCGAGGTCGGTACCTCTCCGTGCTGTAATACCACACATACTCGTAGTACTCGTACTCAATAGAAGTATGGGTAGGTACTCCATACATACTCACAACTCCGTCATAGAGCTTGGTGCCTTGCTTCAAAATCAGATCACGATGGGCATTTCCCGTCACCTGATTCGCCTCAAACAACGATCGAAAATCCGCAAATCACCGTCTACCAAATGGAAAAAAATATATATATATGTATATATGTATATCGGCTTGAACCGCGACCGCGGGGGCAGTACTGTACTTAGTGACTAAAGCCGTTGCCTGAAAAGACAGGCCGGCAGGCATCCAGCCAGCCAAGGCGAGATAACCAGCATGACCGCGGAATCTAGGGACGATCGGAATCTTATTCTCCCCATATTCAGTAGAAATCTCACATGGCATGTGGCAAATGACGTTTTGTTTGTCACATCTCCCGAATAAGAGTCATCATCCAGGCACAAACCCAAGGTTCATCATGATGAGAAGATGGGGTAGAGGGCTGTACACTGAGTACTACACAAAAGTCAAAAGTAAAATGTGAATCAAAAAGGTACTGAGTACTGCATATCGCTGGGGGCCTGGACCGGCTGGATTGACCCCGGATTTTTGTGAACGAAGCTAGCGAGGAATTCGAATCAACTGTCATGGAATGAGGGGGGAGGGGTTACATCCTCCAGGTTTATCGATTGGCTGTTTGGTGGCGCGGGTGACTGACAGGGAATTGATTGCTTCGATATTGCCCGCCGGAGCTACTGGTTAATGGAACGAAATCCGGGGAGGAGACAGCGACATGGGTGCTGTGGTTGCGTACGGCAGGAATTTGGTGTCGCAGTTGCTGTGGGCATTTAATCTAGTAGAAGCTGACTGGCTGCATGGGTTCGAATTGCTTGGTGCGTCGGGGTACTACTGTTGCTGTTGTTCATTATAATCATTTGCTACGATGGATGATGTTCAGCTTGGTCGATGTATTGCCTCATGTAAGCATTTCTTTTCACCTGTTCAGGGTTTCTTAAATGATAGGTTCAAGTAGAATTGCTTGCGAAAAGGGGCAAAACATCTACAGATATCCTTTGCTACCGTTGCAAGAAGTCTCTCTTTTGTCACTATCGATACTTACGAGTATAGTCGCAGAGTACTCCGTACCGGTCGGCAACATATTCCACACACACGGATAGATCCTTCTTATCGTCACCAGCTACACTCGTGCTATCAGCTATCTTATCCCGTCACTCAAGCTTTAGTATAGCCAGCTGAACCCTGAATGCAGGACGTCCCCGCGCCAACGCTCGCCAGCCAAGCCATTTGATCTCATCATCTCATCAAAAGTCGAGTCCTGAACCCTAGATACTCACAACCAGGGCAGAAAGCCGCTCAGCACTCCACTCGTGGCAAACCTCCCTACCCTGCTCCAGGGCAAGAGGAGGGGGGCGTTCTTCCATTTACTGCAGGAAGTTTAGCCCCAACGTGCTCAGATAAACAAATAGATTGAACGACAATCAACCTGCAGGGAGGGGCAATGTCCACCCCCCACCTGCCCGCCTGATTGGCCGCACGGAGATAAAAATCTCAGCCAGTATCCATGCAGTCGAGATTAAGATATCACTTTCCCCCTCTCGAGTAGACCATATGTGTAAATTACGGAGTAAAAGGCGTAAAAGCTCCAGAACAAGCCAGAGACTAGGTAAGCAGGGCCACATCACTATGCATACTGAGTATATTGTTGCTGCTGCTGCTGCAAACAACTCAACGCTGGCAGTGTGCCCTACTCATCCCGAAGATATACCTGAAACACCTTAAGTGCTTAGTGACTACCAGCTACGGAGTACTTCCCCTCTGATCTGTCCGGACATCAGCCCAGCGGCGAACACGCTATGATGATTGTTCTCGGAGGTTCAGGAACCTCCCCCCTGGTCTTTGTCTACTATAATGAAGATACTATGGTACTTTTTTCTTTTTGAGAAACGGGGAAAGTTGTGTATACTTGACCAACATAAACTTGCCTGACTACGAGTGCTACACTCCGTGCTATACCTTCCTTACCTCCCCGAAGTACTGCCCTCCAGCCCGTTAGGGTCGTAGTACAGTCAGTACATACCACTTCGCGCCTCAAGACCGTCATCTGACCTCCGTTCCTTGTCCCTGTTGACTCTGGAGCTTACCGAGCGACCGACGAATAGACAGGATAGGTTTGCATTTCATTCTACTCCATACTCGCACACTACTGTCAGTGACAGTAGCAGAGAGTAAGATGACACCAATCAACGCATCTCGCAACCAACTAGACGCTTGCTGAAAAGTCCATAAAGCATTGTAATTAGTTCAATCCGATCCCTTTCAAACAAAGTACAGTACTTGCGTGCCCGTGCTGGAAGTACTGCTGCAACTCGTAGGAACCGAATTGTCAACCTCTCTCACACTAGCGCCATCTGCATGTCGCTGCAATCGGAAACCCACCAAGCGGGGTTTTCGCTGACTTGTTCGCGTAAGGATTCCTTAGGCTCAGCTCAGGGCTGCTGACCTTACCTTCCTACTTGGGTTTCAAGATGATTAAATCTTCATCTCACATGAGCTCTGGGGAAAAAAAAGTAATCTTAATTGAATTGTAGCTTCTGTGACCTGTATGGTTGGGTTTAAAGCCTCTCACGCGTACTGTACCTTTTTTTGAGGGAGGGGGAAGCTGGCAGTCAACTTTCCGAGTCATGTAACTATGCGACGGACGTGTACTGTACTGTAGTTTTCGATTAATATTAGGATCTTCTCAGAGACAATACCGAAGCAAGAAAGACATAACTAATTAATTGATAAGAACCTGACAAAACCGCCAACTCTCTCCCCAAAATTCGGGCTTTGCATGTGTTGTGTTGCGTAGTGGTTCGCTGGCTTATCTGCTCTTGCTGGCTATCCGTCTGTCTGTCACCACTGACCAGATACCCCCCCCGATCTGAGTCAATTTTCGTATGCTTCCTACGTAAGTGTTTCAAAGTTAAAGCAAGAGAGAGAGAGGGCCCCATCTCCCCAAATTTTCCTGCCCGAAGAATTCGAGAAACATACACATCCTTAATGAAATTTGAATTTGAACAAGCAACAAGTCCGGGTCAGATGAAAAAAAACCGAAAGACGGCAGGCAACATCTCAGACATGAACCGCCCGATCTTGACCCACTGCGGGGTCCACAAGAGGTCTTGGGGGAGAGAAGCAGAAGCAGAAGCAGAAGCAGCAACCTGATCCGATCATGGCTTCCAATCTAAACACCCAAGAAGAAGTGGCATGACGATAAAGACGGGAAAGTATTGACAGACACCATGACCGAGGTATCATGCCATGAGTGTAGATCTTTTTGATATCATCATCAACATCATCATCACCTTCGTCATCAACTTTATCAACACCAAATCTCCTATACCGACTGCCATCATATCCTCTGGTACAATACAAAAGTATACACACCACAGTCCCTGGCATCCTTAATCTCCTTATTCGGTATTACAAGGAATTGCCCCAAACAAGGAGTCGTGCATGAATGGATGAAATCCAACCGCCCACGAAACAAGAAGCATAATTAGTGGAGCAACAGACACGGGTGTGCCTGTGGGGGGTACTTCCTTTTTCTTTGGGCCCTTTCCTTTAACTTAACTTAAACTCTCTTAACTTTTTGTGAATCGGCGGGAGCAGTGTTGTTTAAAACTTAGGGCACGGATGGATGGATACCTCTGCGTTTGAAGGGTGTCAGGAATTGGTCTTGGGTTATACGCTTAGAACTTCTTTGGTCTGGTGTTATGCTCTGAAATTTATGCTCAAGTTCTGTGCTCAAGTTCTATGCTCAAGTTCTATGCCCAAGTTCTATGCTCAAATTCTATGCTCAAATTCTATGCTCAAGTTCTATATTGAATTTCTAGGCTCTGAATTTGATCTGGAACTTTTGTAGGTGAGGTTAGTGGGTTCCACATGCTTACAACTATGATTGATGGTGGTCAGACATTCCAAGCTGAATAGTTGTAAGAAGATGGTCTCAGGCTGCCAGGTATTCAATCTCCCAACGCACGGATGCACATCAATCTGCACCTCAAGTATGATGGTTCTATGAACATGAATCCTTAGGCTGCCAGGCATTGAGTAGGTATCCCGAAGGATGAGGTACGTACCTAGTAGTCATAAGGTCCAATGCTGTACATTGACCTGCATCTCCAGAAAGTTATACCCCGCTGTTTCTAATAGTTCCAAGAACATAAATCCTCAGGCTGCCAGACCTTCAAGGGCCTTGAAGTAGAAGATACTGTATGTACATGGATCTTCCTCTAGTGAATGATTCTCTGCTGTACTTGATAGCTGTGTTAAGTCTTCCAAAAAAATACTTATGTCAGTCTGCACCACTAGTAAATTATGCTCTTGTATGCCTACATACTACATACTGCATACAGATGTTTCTGCACTTTATTATGGCCCGTTATACATAAAGCATACCTCAGTATACTGTGGCACGAGATATCTCAAGGGACAGGGACATACAGATCAAAGTTGCAAGCGAGGAGTCCTCATCTGTAGAAAGAGTATTGTATATGAACAAGAGATTATTATCAATCACCATCCAGCCCAGTACAGATATAAGTAGTATCAGAGAATAGTCTTACCTACAGATTCAAGAAGAACGAAGAGCTTATAGCCTTATAAAGTCACATCTAAATGAGCTTGTTAAGCTTTGATCTACATCGTGTACAGCATCAACTTTATACAGTTTGGGATATGCAAACTTATAAACCACTTGATAAAGAAATAGCTTAGTACATGTACTAGGACCGCCAAACTCATCTGCAAATCACATGTGCCAGTCTCTTTCTGTTGCCACTACTGTGTTGAGCGCCATTCACTCTGGTCAAGAACAAAGTCCGGTTCTCTGCACCTGCACTAGGGCTATATCACCTCACCCCCAGGATATGCGCATAAAATAGGCTAATTTTACGCGCGCACACGATCCAAAAAGGAGTCTGCTTTATGCGCACCCACGATGCAAAAAGAGGACCCGCTTGCGACGCTGAGAGAATGAACTCACAACCTCACAGCCTCACAACACGGCGTGTCGCTCCACCAAGTCATCAGCTACCTTGTGATTCCCCACCGCCGAGAGCTTCACCGGAGTCCATCTGGACATGTCAAAGACACACACCATCACCGAGGTCTAACCAAACTGCAGGATATCAACCGTCGGGATGTGTCGTATGGAGGTACACATCTACTCCTGCACCCACATCTGGGCCCTCAAAGAGCGCTGTCCCTTCCACCAGATGCCAAATCACCAGGAACTGCCTGCCAGGACCCTGACGATTGCAAGTCCCTGTCTCATTTGTCGTGACCCCTCTACCAGGTACACGTTCCTGAGGCAGAAAACGCTCTTCACTACTCAGTCCATGGAGACTATCCTTGGCATGTCCCGTCACGACCCGGGTTTCATTGACAGTGTGACACGCTTTTACGCGAGGGGTGATCACGCTCGCTGGATGCAGCCGGGATACCTGCGACCCAAGAGCCTCGAGGATCAGCAGGAGGAAGAGGCGTACTTGCAGGCGGTGCTGGTTTCGTCGGGGCAGAGTGTTGTCGACACTGCTGTTGCCACCGGGCCTGCTGCAGGCACCTCTCAGGAAGCTGTCACAATGATTTCCTCTTCCGCCGCCGGTCACTCGACGTTGAACACGGAGCCTCAGAACGTCGCTGCCCATCCGCCTCTAGAGAGAGTGAGAGAGGCGCAGCCCCGTCCGCCGATCGTGGTCGAGAACGAGGCTACACAATCGGCGAGATTGGTGCTAGGGCCTCAGAATCAGACACTAGTGGTTGGAGAGTCGGCGCTGGGAACACTTCTGGAGTATTTTGGCACGGCTCCTGCGCCAGCATTTGTTGAGGTTAGTTCTTCGAGTCGTCCAATAAAGGCAGGCTGATTGGCGTTTGTTGACACACATATACACACAGGACGATGATCCACCAAGTCCATATGTGCCGATGCCGATACTCAACTATGGGACTGTTCAACAGCCGCCTGCCATGATCTCACACACAGACCCAAACATCCCCCTTGGCATCACCCCAGCGATCCACGATGCTTCTCAGAGCACGGGGTTCAGTGAGTCTCCCCAGAGTTCCACACATGGAGTATCCCGAGACCCGACCTCCCCCGACCTCGTGACTGGCTACAGGAACCTCGCACAGAGCCACGAAGATCCCTTCTTCGACCCAGCTTCTGCCCGCCAGAACGTCTTTAGGCCCAGGCCCGCGATCCCACCGGCGCGCATGAGACGCCCGTCCAACGACCCCCAGTCGACCCCGGCGCTCAACGGGCCTCGTCCTCGTCCCCAAACTGGAGGGCTCATGGGTCCACCCGCGCTCCCTGCGACCCGGCGCTCCTGGCTGAGACAGCCCACTAACGCGAACAGCTACTGGCAGGACCTGGACTTCGCATCCTATGCCACTCCCTCGACCGGCCCCGACGCCCCCGAAGCGGTACCAGAGGACACAAACGACCCGCAGACAAACCTCATGTCGTCTCCCACCGTGATGATGCAGCAGAGGTGCAGCGGAGAGATCAGACGCGGAAAACGTCCGGTGCGGGAACTATACCCAGTTTTGCCCACTTTGCCTGTTACTGGTAATCCCAATGGTAACAATCATCCTAACAATGCTGCCAGTGCGAACCCCCCGATGAAGGTCGTCGTCGCGTCTAAGCCCGCAGCCGAACCCAAGGCAGAGCCGGAGCCTAAGCGTCCTAGATATGTGAAATTCCTGGATGATAAGACTATTGTGCCGTGCTCGCCTGTTTCGGCCAGGAGTTCAGGTAGAGGCGCCGGTGCTGTCAACCCTCGTGCCGATGCTCGTCTTCGGAACGCGGGTCTGGGAGGAACGGCCGATAATGCGGTGGACGGCTTTAGTCTTTCGGAGTGTAACAACCATCAGCAGCAGGAGAGTGGGGCTGTGGTTTCCGATGGCGACAAGATGGACTTGGATGAACAGAAGGGGACTGGCGACGAAACGGAGGAGTTGGAATGGATCTTCCAGTGCTATGTGACTGATCAAGAGGACCAGCGGCAGAGGGAGGAGGCCGGCGAGCACCCGTTCTTCAGTAGCCCTTTTGCATGCGGCTATAACAAAGATTCCGAGGGGTTGAATGAGGAGGTTGGTGATGGCGATTGGGATATGATGCAGTGAAGTTCGGGGTTGGTTGGTTGGTTGGTTGGCTGGTTTGTCTCACACCGTCTGTGGAGGCGGCGAAGTACTACTACCTAGTAGGTACGTTAGTACTACTACTAGGTAAGTTACTGACTGCACTGCACCTTCCACATACTAAAACCTCAGTCCATTTGTTTGGTGGCACTTTTTGTGTACACTTCACTTCACTCACTCACTCACTCACTCACTCACTCACTCACTCACTCACTCACTCACTCACTCACTCACTCACTCACTCACTCACTCACTCACTCCACAACCACCCCATCAGTTCAGCTTAGGCAGCAGTTTCTGGCTCTGGTTCCTCTCTTTTGTCAGGATTGATTCTTCTTTACAATCAGGCAGAAAAGATGTAACTCTTAGAGTCCCAGTTTGTTTCTTTGTTCTCTTTTCTTCATATCTGAGAGACATCTGACTTAATAATTCTAAAAAGAACAAATGAACCCTCTCGTCAGACATCCAAAGTGTCATCACATCATTAGTATTTCTATTGCTCTTTTATCGCTTCCTGCCAAAGCGCTGTTCACCTAAAAGTCATCCTGATCATCCTCATAGTCCCCTCCATCCATATCCTCATCGTCATCTAGACCTTCGAATACCATGAACTTCTCGTTCTTCGCTTCAGTGTCATCTTCAACCACGTTGCCGTCCTGGACTTCGCAGTCCTTGAGGACGCACTCGCGTCCAATCTTGCTTCTGCGGCCAATGATACAGCCGGACAATTGAGCACGCTCCCCAATGACGGCTCCATCCATGACTAGACACCTCGTCAGCCTTGCGCCAACTCCAATCACGCAGTTGGCTCCAATGACGCTCTCCTTGACCACCGACTTCTCGTTGATCGTGGTGTTCATGTCGATCAAGCAGTCAGCCTTGGTGACGGTGCACCTCTGCGCCACATTCGATGTGCCGTTGATCTTCTGGTTGTGGGCGAAAGGAGAGGCGGCGACGCGGCCAACCTCCTCGATTGCTTCCAGCTTTGCCAGCTTCAACGATACGCTCAGGAGCAGAGCAGAGCTGTCCACGCGTCTGACCAATGGCGCTGACGCTTTGGAAGAGTGCATGTATGCCAGGATCGGAGGAACATGCAGGGGCTCTGCGCTGTCTGCGTCCTTGGCATCAGGATTCTGAACGCGGGAGGCGAACTGGATATCGTCAGAGAAGGCCCCTTCGCGAGCGACGGCAGCCCCCGATTTCGTAGAAATCATGGAGTTTAGATCGATCTCATCCTCCAGCGAATCTCCATCCTGGCTACCGCTCTCTCCCTTGTTCTCTGGCTGGAGGATCTCTCGCAAGTGAAGCTTCTCTCCCAGCCCCGTCTGCCACCCTGCCTTTGCCCACCATCCCACAAGATCTTCACTGATACTCTCGAACGGCTCGTTGAGACGCGAGAACTGGGACACCCAGTACGGGAAAAGATAACAATTTGCGTCTCGGAAGCTGGTAAGAAGCTTGATCCGGGGGTGTTTCTTGACCAGAGAGTGCCGAATGAGCAAGCCCTTCTGTTCCTGCATGTTCTCTTTCAATGTGTCCATCGGCATAGAGAGAGCCAGCTTCGACAGTCCGAACCGCAGCGCAGCGGGTCCGTCCAGTGGGTGAGACACAGCTGGTGCCTCATCTTCCTCGAGGGGGACGGTAGCCACGAAGTCCGTGGCCTCGCCCTTAACGCTCTCTTCCTGGCCTTTAGTTTGGTAGAAAATTGCGAGACCACCACGAGGACTGCCACCTCCCAACCCAACGGTCTTCGGTCCATCGGAGCCCCCTAGCGCGCTTTGTGCCATCCATGCTTCGATGAAAGACTCTCCCGGTATATCGCAAATCAGGTCACAGGGAAGGAGCAGAAAGTCGGACTTGATGCACGACTGGACTTCGGGGAGGCGGAGCAGTTCCGCAGTTCCGGTGGTCATGGTCAAGTCGGGCGGCGACAGAATTGACGGCGAAGGGGACGGAAGGGAGGTCAAGTAGGGATTTGTACCCATGGCACTTTCTAATGGCTGTTTGATCTCCGAAGGAGTCACGATTGTGATATCTGTTACATCGGATTGGCATTGTTAGACTGTTGGGCGCAATCCTGGCGCAATTGACGGCAGTTACTGACTTGTAATTCCCATGCGATAACACCAGTCTAGTGGATAGTAGATCATCGGCCTATTGGCAATCGGGACAAGAGCCTTGGGAGAGTCCTCATTCGAGGTGAAGGTATTCAAACTGACCTAAAAGGGGAGTCAGATCAGTAAGCTGCTTGCTTCCTTGTTTCCTTTGATCGAACTCACACCAGGTCCGCAGAGAATGAGGGCTTGAATGCCCGTGTTGGGCACTGGAACCGAGTGCGGCATATTGGTATTGTGCAATTTCTGGGTGATCTAGAAGCCCGGGGAACTCGAAGAGGATGTATGGATCACAGAGTCGGCTGGTCAACCATACAAATTTTGCGACGGAAGTTTGACGCGGGGTGGAGGGGGAAGGTAGTTTTGGGTATCAGGCGTCGTCAAGGAAGGCGTTTTATAGAATCGGACCTTGAGCCTTCTAGATCATGTCTAGTCTGAGCCGCGTATGAAATGGTTCAAGAGGTCGACGGGCTCGAGATCATCAGACTCCTTCTTGCTGGGTCTTTGAGTCAAGGCCGATTGTTAGTTAACCAAAATCCCACCAGCATGCGCCGATAGCATCGACTGACTCAGCAATCGCAGGTTCGGGCTGCGGCAGCTGCATACAATGCAAACAGTGCGAATGTCACAAACTTCAGGACACAGCATCTCTGGTCGCCCTCGCGCCCCGCATTGCTGCTGCTCATAGTAACCATCGCTGCTCCTCCACAGCTATCTGCCCGCCGGCGGAGCTAGTAGTTTACCATACCGTAGTTAAACTATCTGTTACCGTTACTGGCTAAAAAACATCCCGCGGTTAATCCAGCATCACCAGCCACATGTTTCTTGCTCCCTCCGAGGCCAGCCCGCGCGCGGCTTCGCTTCTTACTCTCACTCCCTTTCTCATTCCAACACTTACCCTGCCTGACGCCTGCCCCTTTCTTCCCTCCAGCTTGAAATGTGATGCTCGGCTTAGTGGAACTTTTCTGAGCCTACGTGTCTCTTCTCATTGATTGAAACCATCCCGATGTCTTTCCCTTATTCCCAGGATGCCCGCCGTCGGCGGGTCGGAGCCGGAACGGGTTTCAGCTCTTCGGGCAGACGAACCGTCCTGGGCTATTGGGTGCCACTGGCCCTGACTGTAGGCATCGCGACCGTTGGCATAGCCGCTTGGATTTGGAGCGAACGCAGCGAAGATGACGATGACGAAAATGACCGCGATCGCCGTCGCGACGAGGAACCTTTCCCCGCCCCCGGTCCCGGTAGCGAGGCTTATCCTGCTGGCGGCGACTACGAGGGAACGTATGCTCGCTCAACAGCAACAGATGTCCACGGTGGCCATCCCGAAGATGCCAGCATGATGGCACGCATGCAGGGAGCCTTGCGTCGCACACCCAGCCCCCAGCAGATACTTGACGGCGCCAGCAAGCGAGTCGCTGCGGGAATGGCCGCGGCCGGAGCCTTCGTCGGCGGAGCTCTCACATCGATCCGGGAGGAGGATAGAGGAGACTTTGAAGACCACTCACGGTGGTCGGAAGAAGTAGAATCCAGAGCCAACCAGAGAGAACAGCCGGCCCGCGCTGCGCCAACGACCCGCGAGGCCGTCTCTGGCTCTATCCCCACCGATAAGAAGAAGAGGAAGACTATCGCGATTGTGGTGTCCTCTGAAACTCCTCGGGTGGATCCTGAGGAGATTATCTCGCAGCATGCGGTATGTTCTGCAGTGCAACTATGATTTGAGCCTATCACGCTAATGTACCTGTAGTCAATCCTTTCCCACCTTCCAGAGCATGTCAATCTCGATACCACCCGCGTCTTCATTATGATCTATGCGCCAGGCCTGAAGCATGCCCCTAGCCAAGGCGGCTCCTCTCCACCTACCTTGTCGGTCACCTCTTCCTATTCCAATATCGCTCCGGAGGAAGCGACATCGCCGGGTGAGGTACCTGGCCGTGAACTATCGGGCGAGTCTCGTGCGACGGACGAGCACGAGGGCACCACCCCGTTGTTTCGCACAATGTACACGCAAGCGCAGGCTCTTGTTGAGAAACCAAACACCATCATGCCCTTTAGCACTGCCACTGGCTTTGTGCATCTTGTGCGACACATTTCCCCGGATAC